TTTTTTTTTTTTTTTTTTGTCGCGCAAGGTCGGGGGAGGAAGGGAGAGGGGGAGAGGTCGTGGCAGGGAGGTCGGGATGGGGGACGGGAACGGAGAAAGGAAAGGTCGGGATCACATCAGGAGGTCGGGATGGGAGACGGTTTGGGATGATGTCGCGGGAAGGAAGTCGGGGAAGGAAAGGGAGAACGAAGTGGTCGGGATGAGGTCGGGATGGGAAAGGAGTTGGGATAGAGGAGGAGGGAGGAGGAATCTAGGCAAGGAAGAAGGTCGGGATGGGAGTTGGGATAGAGGAGGAGGGAGGAGGAATCTAGGCATAGGGCAAGGTCAGGGGAGGAAGGGGAGAGGGGCAGAGGTCGGGACGGGGAGGTCGGGATGGGAGGTCGAGATGGGAGGTCGGGACGGGGAGGTGAGGGAGAGGTCGGGATCAACTCGGGAGGTCGGGATGGGAGACGGGTTCGGACGATGTCCGGGGAAGGAAGTCGGGGAAGGAAAGGGAGAAGGAAAAGGTCGGGATGAGGTCGGGATGGGATGGGGAGTCGGGATAGAGGAGGAGGGAGGACGAATCTAGGCATGGGAGACGACTCGCGACGATGACGGGATCGGGGGAGTAGGGGGAGAGAGGGAGAGGTCGGGACGGGGAGGTCAGGATGGGGGGTCGGGACCGAGAGGTCGGGATGGGAGACGCGAACAGAGGAGGGAGAGGTCGGGATCAGGGAGGGAGAGTTGGGACGATGTCGGGGGAAGGAAGGAGAGGGGGAGAGAGGTCGAGACGGGAAGGAAGGGAAGGTGGGAGGAGGGGGAAGAGGCCGGGATGAGGTCAGGATGGGATGGGAGTCGGGATAAAGGAGGAGGGAGGAGGAGTCTAGGCATGGGATGGGAGGTCAGGACGGGGAGGTGAGGGAGAGGTCGGGATTAAGTCGGGAGGTTGGGATGGGAGACGGGTTGGAAAGGGAGAAGGAAAAGGTCGCGATGAGGTCGGGATGGGATGGGAGTCGGGATAGAGGAGGAGCGAGCAGGAGTCTAGGCATGGGAGATGACTTGGGACGATGTCGGGATAGGGAAGGGGGGCAACGAGCTCGGAGAAGGAAACGGGGGAGGGAGAGTTCGGACGACGTCGGGGGAAGGAAGAAGAGGGAGGGAAAGTCCGGATCAGGTCGGGAGGTCGGGATGGGAGATGGGTTGGGATGGGGAATGAAAGAGAGGAAGAAGAGATCGTGATGACGTCGGGATGGGAGTTGGGATAGAGGAGGAGGGAGGAGGAATCTAGGCATGGGAAAAGATGGGGATGGGAGTTGGGATAGACGAGGAGGAAGGAGGAATCTAGGCATGGCGCAAGGTCGGGGAGCAAGGGAAGAGAGGAGAGGTCGGGACGAGGAGGTCGGGATAGGAGGTCGGGACCGGGAGGTTGCGATCGAAGACGCGAACAGAGGAGGGGGAGGTCGGGATCAGGGAGGGAGAGTTGGGACAGTGTCAAGGGAAGGAAGGAGAGGGGGAGAGAGGTCGAGGCGGGAAGGAAGGGAAGGTGGAGGCGGGATCGGGATAACGTCACGTTGGGATGATACAGGGGGAAGGAAAAAGAGGGGAGGAGAGGTCAGGACAGCAAGGAAGGGGAGG